AGACTGTTCTAGTGTGAGTTCAATACCCGGTTAAGACAGTGGTGAACTTTCAAAGAGAAAATTGATATATAGAGATTAAATTCAGTAATAAAAAAAAAAAATAAACGGAAATACCTTGTCAGATTGTTGAATGAATTATATATATATATATATATATATATATAATTACATGAATCATTCAGACAAAAAACAAATAAACAGGGATCATATCATTCATATACAGGTTCGGGGTTGATGTATCTTATTGAAATTGTTTGCGAAGATGTATTCTCGCCATTTAAATCATTAACCTCTATATTTGTTTTTTTGTATGAATGATTCACGTAATTATAAATTGAACTGCACCTATAATCGAAATAATATATATATATATATATATATATATATATATATATATATATATATATATATATATAGTCAACGACGAAATTACGAAATTATTCGTACACCTGTCAATTTTGAATATTTTATCCATTTCTCGCAAACTAATGCCTGTATGATAACAGTATTTTCATATGTTAATAAGCATAAAATATATATATATATATATATATATATATATATATATATATATATTAAAAAAAAACGGACCACTTTAATATTCCATTATAATAATTTATTTCACAATAGCCCCTTTAAAGGACTCTGGGTCATCAGATAGCTTTTCCAAAAGATGAAACGACACGAAATGAAATAAATATTCATACTTTTCATGGGTAGTGTAAGTTTTTGTAATTTATCAGAGAGTGTAATGAAGGGTGGTTTGAGAGACATGGTCTAGTTTACAGAGGGTTTATTTAATATTTCTTTCAATCATACTTTGTATTGGGGGAGAAGGGACGAAATCTTGACCTATCGATACTTGCTGGAAGTGCTGAAACATAAAGTTGGTCTTTAATATACTCCCACAAGAAAAAGTCACACAGTGAGGTCCGAGGATCTGGCCGGCCAAGCACAGAGAGCAAGGTCTTTAGCACCTCTCCTCCCAATCATCGCTGAGGCACGTTTTCATTCAGATAAGCTCTAACCCCGAGATGCCAATGGGGTGGTGCTCCATTTTGCTGAAAAATGAAGTCATTCAAATCTGCTTGCAGTAAAGTGAATAGCCAGTTTTGGAGCATTTCGAGATAGGTTTGTCCTGTAACGTTGTTTCCTCCAAAGAAAAAGGGACCATAGACCTTGTCTTGAGACACAGCACAGAAGACGTTCACTTTAGGGGAATCTCTTTCATGCTCAACAGTTTCATGTGGGTGCTCTGTACTCAAGCATTCAAAACGCCTTCTGCTGAGGAGTCGCTATTTTGATTGATCTTCCCACAATTCAGCTGCACCGGAAGTTATACTAACGACAGTGGTGAAACTGACACATCATCAAACTTTGATAACTACTCTATCAAATAACCACTGATTCAGTCCACTACAATGCTATAGACCTGAAAAAACAGCGTAATGGTTTTGGCGTATCCTTTTTGAAACACCCTGTATATTAAAGAAAATATTGTCTGAATAAAAAATCATTTTCGATGAAAAATGAATTTTTACAAGATTTCTTTTCATTTTTTACAATTTTAAATTGAATAGTTTACAAAGTTTTTAATCTTTTAAAATTCAGTTCCAATGTGATATGTCTTAGGAAATATTATTGTCAAGTAAAACTATATGTTCTAATCATATATTGTAAAGCTTATTACATCTGACAATCTTGTATATTTTTAAAAGACTTTCCATTTGTTTTGTATGTATGATTATACATACAGATCTTCTACGTATCGATATTCAAACCTATAACATTATCATTAAAGGTCACGTGCTTTGTTGTTTTTTCCTTGGGAAAAAACTCTCATATAAAATTCATCGTTTGCTCCACTCTTCTTAACTATGAACACTTCCAGCGTTCATTCGGCTGTCAGTAAATCGATTAATGGATGGTTTCATCGACGGGAACATTTGTGACTAAATTTTCTGCATTTAGCGTCACTTGATGTAGAGAATGTATATAAGCATGTTGCGTCATCGAGTGACTAACTGTCAATCATGGCTGAAGAAAATGCAGGGTCTGATCGGTGATGATCACATAATACAAGTTTGATTTCATTAAAACGACTGAGAACACACGAGAATTTGTTTTTTGTCCAACTTTTCTGGGTATAAAGTGTTTAAATATTCCAGATGTTCTGTATATCCGAAAGCGGTTTCGGCTATTCTATTAACTATTATCAAGTGATCATTTTTTAAAATTTTTAACTAAACACACACACACACACACACACACATATATATATATATATATATATATATATATATATATATATATGAAATATATGTTTATATAATGAAACTCAGCCAGCACTTGTGGCCTGACGAGTGCGTCTAGCATAAAACAGACTGTCGCCTCTAAGAGTTGAAACTTCTATGTTCATTTTTATATTTACACAACTGTCTCTGATATCCCATAAATATACCACACCATGATTGTATATTTCTTCATATATATATATATATATATATATATATATATATATATATATATATAGTTTTTTTTGTATTTGTAGGTCTGATGGATTGATCATGATTATGAATCCAATGTAATAAATTATAATCCTGGAATATTAGTGTTTGAGCCTTTTATATTATATATATATATATATATATATATATATATATATATATATATATATATATATATGTGTGTGTATATATATATATATATATATATATATATATATATATATATATATATATATATATATATATACGTTATATATATATATATATATATATATATATATATATATATATATATATATATATATATATATATATATATATATATATATATATATATATATATATATATATATATATATATATATATATAAATGAATTAATTTTTGACAATTGATATCATATATATTAACTACATTTACTGACCTGAATAATCCAAAAATTTCCGAGAAAATATGTGTCTTTCCTCTGCAGCTAAATCGTATAGCACGTCAGCCCCAATGACGGTTCCGTGTAGGAAACAGATTCGATTCATGTCGGACGACTCATTTTTTCTATGAAACGTCTCGGACATTCAGACCGAAAAATGTTGTTGTGTTTATTATAAACAGATCATTTATTTAAACATTTGTATCTATAAAAATAACATATAAACAGAAATATAAATATGTATATATATATATATATGTGTGTGTGTGTGTGTGTGTTGTGTGTGTGTGTAAGAAAGGAGGACAGAGAGAAAAGTTAAAAAAAAAACTATAAGGAATAAATATAAAGTGATAAAAGCGAAGAAAAAGCAAATAACCACGACATTCAACACGTGCGCGCATAGGCGCAGTCGAGCGCATTGGAGCATGCGCGACAACGCGCGCGCACACACACACACACTCACACACACACGCACGCACACACAGTCATACACTACGCAGAAAAAAAACTTGTTCCAATAAAAAGTGAGTATAAAAAATGAAAAATTGAGAGATATAAGCCATCAGTGGCCGATACACACTGACGACTGGACGGAGTGATTCCCAGAGTGATTCTTTTCGCCAGTTGAACACTCTTTAATTTTGATCTTCGAAAATATAAATGCAATGTCCGTCTTTATCGACAGTTTTCGTGATTCCACTTCTAATGTTCTCGCTCCTTAATCATGTTTCATTTTCCTGATTCCTCCACACCCTTGTTTCTTTTTTTAAGCATTTCACCCCAACCAAGGCGGCTGTGCCATTGGCACGCAAGGTGTTACAGAGAGTGAAAGTAAGAGTAAAGAGGGGTGTTTGTGGAAAGGATAAAGAGAAGAACATGCATCAAGATCAAGGCATCAGAAAATGTCGACTGACATTACATTTAAAGTTTTGAAGATTATGGCTATCAGCGAAGCAGGTAAGAGGAAGGGAGTTCCACTGTCAGGAAGTGCGAGAAGAAACTGTTGGAGTAGAAGATGCGGTTACATTTAACTGTTTCGTAATTGAATGGGTGGGACCTATATTCCAACCTAGTAGAACACTTAAATTCATGCAGTCGGAGCACCAGTGAAAATAGCTCGTCAGAGCAGTTGCCATAAAAAAATATTTGTAGAAAAGACAGATGGAAGCCACATCACGCCTGTAAGAAACTGTAATTTTTGAAGATTATGGCTATCAGCGAAGCCGCTAAGAGGAAGGGAGTTCCACTGTCGGGAAGTGCGAGAGAAGAAACTGTTGGAGTAGAAGATGCTGTTACATTTAACTGTTTTGAAATTAAATGGGTGGGACCGATATGCCAACCTAGTAGCACACTTAAGTTCATGAAATCTGGGCACCAGGGAAAATAGCTTGTCAGCGCAGTTGCCATGAAAATATTTGTAGAAAAGACAGAGGGAAGCCACATCACGCCTGTAAGAAAGTAACTGTAGACGAGATGCCAGATCAGGACCTATCACATTGCATATCCATCTTTGGATTTTGTCGCAAACCTCGAGATGAACAGCGTGGGCACCAGACCATATATGGCAGCAATATTCAATGCAATGACGAATGGTTGATTTTTAGCAAGCTTAAATTTATGTAGTTAGGACACCGAGGAAAATAGTTCGCCAGAGCAGCTGTCATGAAAACACTTGTAGAATAGATAGAGATAAACCACATCAGGTCTGTGGGAAAGTGACTGGAGTCGAGATGCCAGGTCAGGGCCTGTCATTACTGCCTTGCGTGGGGTGAATTCGATCAAAAAAATATTAGTTTGTTAAAGCTCTGATTTCTTTTTTGGTGTAGGGTGATCGAAAGAGGGTGAAATGCAAGAGATTTAAGCACTGGCTTTAATAGAGATACTCAATCTATGCAGGACGATTAGCGAATGTAAATATACTTTTGTGTATATTAGACACGCCATCTCTCATGTTATTGCAAATATATCAGAACTCCGATGATTCCTCTCGTAGTCAGAGAGATCTAAATAAATGGTGGGAAAATGATTGGTCGTTTAAAATTGCGTGCAACGCGAAACCATTTGCTTTCAAGATAAGACAAAATATGCCCCAGAAGTGAAATCGGCGAAGCATACACGTGAGGAAAATAAGAATTGAAAATAGATAATGAAAAGAGAGAGAAAGAGAGAGAGAGAGAGAGAAAGAAAAAAAGAAAAAGAGAGAGAGAGAAATGAAAGAAAAGAAATGGGAGTAGGAAAGATGTTAAATATTGGAAAGAAAAGAAGAAAAATAAAAGAAAGAAGTGAATAAGAAAAGAGAAACAAAAAAAAAACAGACAAAGAAAGAAGTAATGCATGAATAGATTTAGGAAATGATTGTACGATATGAAAATGACAGAATAAAAGAAAGAAACAAACAAAGAAGGAAAGAAGGAAAAAAAAACAGAAACGAAAAAACTAAAAAGAAAGAAAAAATAATGAACAAATGAATAAAAACTCGGAAATTATAATTATGGAAATGACTGAAAAAAAAAGAAGGAAGAAAAAAGAAACAGAAAGAAAAAAATCAGTTTTGAAATTATAATAGCTCATTAAAAGATTTGAACGAATGAACGAACGAACGAACGAACGAAGAAAAGAAAGAAAGAAAGAAAGCATGAAAGAAAGAAACAAAGAAACAAAGAAACAAAGAAACAAAGAAAAGAAAGAAAGAAAGAAATTCGTTTTAAGATTATAAAGAAAGAAAGAAAGAAAGAAAGCAGTTGGAAAATTATAGTAGCTAATTAAAATATCATAAATGAAAAGAAAGAAAGAAAGAAAGAAAGAAAGAAAGAAAGAAAGAAAGAAATAAAGAAAGAAATCCGTTTAAAGATTATAATAGCTTATTAAACTATCTGGATGAACGAATCAACGAACGAACAAAGGTACAATCGAAAGAAAGAAAGAAAGAAAGAAAGAAAGAAAGAAAGAAAGAAAGAAAGAAAGAAAGAAAGAAAGCAGTTGGGAAATTATAGTAGTTTATTAAAATATCATAAAGGAAAAGAAAGAAAGAAAGAAAGAAAGGAAAAAAAAAGAAAAAAAGAAAGCAGTTGGGAATTATAGTAGCTTATTAAAATATAATAAAGGAAAAGAAAGAAATAAAGAAAGAAGGAAAGAAAGAAAGAAAGAAAGAAAAAAAGAAAGAAAGAAAGCAGTTGGGAAATTATAGTAGCTTATTAAAATATCATAAAGGAAAAGAAAGAAAGAAAGAAAGGAAGAAAGAAAGAAAGAAAAAAGAAAAAGAAAGAAAAAAAGAAAGAAAGAACCCAACAAACAAAAAAAACACTTGAAATTATAATAATTAATTAAAATTTCTGAACGAACGGATGAATGAAAGAAAAAAAGAATGAAAGAAAGAAAGAAATCAGTTTTATAAATCAAATAACTTGTAAATACTCACTAAAATATCTGCATGAAAGAAAGAAAGAACGAAAATAAGAAAGCCAGAAAAATAATGGCAAATTAAACTTAATAAGTAATTTATGTTAAAAGTTGTATATATATATATATATATATATATATATATATATGTATATCTGTGTGTGTGTGTGTGTGTGTAAGCTTGAGTTGCATTACAAACATAGGCATATGTGTATTTATTAGTATATACTACACACACACACACACACACACACACACACATATATATATATATATATATATATATATATATATATATATATATATATATATATATATATATATACATAAAAGTAGAACATTTTAGCCTCTATTTTTCTCTCACCTCTTTTTCGCCTCTGCTCTCCCTCTCTCTCATAGTCACTTAGCAACCTACCTCTCTCACAGAGCTTGACTTCCTTTTCGTCTCCGTCATCTTTCTCTGTCTTAGCCCCCCCCCGCCACACTCCTTTTATCATTTCTTTTTATATTTCTCTCTCTCTCTTTCTCTCTCTCTCTCTTCAAACTCACACTAAACCTCTTTCTTGGGAATTGGACTTAGCGTGTCAGATGTGCATTTATCTGCTCCGGAATTTTGATGACAGATTACCACTGGGGTGGTTTGATGCCAACGTGTGCCAGCCAATCCTGCTGGAGCCAAAAACGGAGAGGAACTATATCTCCTGTGATCGGAGTACGCAGCGAGTACGCAGAGATGTGCATTTAAAGGGGTAGTTATTCGCCCGTCCCTTTTAAGAACTAAATTAGCCTGCATGAAAATATATTGATGGAAATGGTTTCGTATTAGTTTGGGGCAAAATGTTTTATTTATATCAATTCATGTTGGCACATGGCCGTATGGTTAGAGCTTTAGTCTCCTGTCTACGAGACCCGGGGTTCGAATCTCACAATAGTCGATTAGTCAACGAGGTAAATTCTTGATATCGTCAGACTAAGGTGACAATCCCAACGTGTGGCGACTTTTGGAGGAGCATGAAAACTATACCTCTGGTTGACCTGGTGAGTGAAACTGGATATACGGATCTGTTCGGAAGACATCATTTTTTTTTAAATAAAGGAAGAAATAAAAGAAATTAAGAAAGAAGAAAACGAAGAAGGAAAGGATAAAAAAAGAGGAAAACAGAAAAAAAAGAAAGAGAGAAAGGAAAGAAAACACATATTAACGAAGGAAAACAAATCAAAAAAGAAAGAAACGGAAAGAAGGAGCAAAAGAATGAAACGTGGGTAGGGGATGCATCTCCTCCCCGAGAAATCATCATTACTCCCCCCTTCTCCCACTAAGTCTTTTAGTATTCATGTATATGAGCGAGTTTACCTTGGTACCCTAGGTCTTTGACCGGTACGATGTTTCAGGCCCAAGGAGGTGTTATGTTGCCCTGACCTCTAAGCGGACAAGACACCTAAACACGGAATGTCACGCTTGAGTCTTTCCTGAGCTATTTGATCCCTCATTAAGGGTACATAAAGTAAAATAACTTGTAAATACTCACTAAATACTCAGAAAAGGAAAAGAAAGAAATTCGTTTTAAGATTATAAAGAAAGAAAGAAAGAAAGAAAGAAAGAAAGAAAGCAGTTGGAAAATTATAGTAGCTTATTAAAATATCATAAATGAAAAGAAAGAAACTTCAAAGGAGGCTATCCCATCAACAGGTCTATAATATCGGGTCTATTGTTGTTGACCATGTTTGCCTCAGTCTCTGAATATGGAATTCAGTGAAGTCCGTAATTTGTTCAATATCAGAGGTCGGCAGTGAAGATTCAGAGAAAGTAGCGGCTGTTAAGTAATTCTTTAAGTCTTCGATATCAGGTTGGCAATGAGGATAGCTTTGGAGAAAAAACAAAATGGCTGCCTTTATACACGTCGGATTGAATATTTTGAGTCTTCTGATTGGTTAAACTTTCTATTGGTGAACTATGAAATGAGTCAGCTCATTTCGGCTGGCTCACTAGTACACCAGGGTACCCAAAAATTCCAACACCGCCTTGAGGTGTCCAAGGCTGGCAGTGAATATTCGGGAAAAAACATAGCCGCCTTTATACACGTCGCATTGTATATTTTGAGCCTTCTGATTGGTTAACCTTTCTATTGGTGAACTATAAAATGAGTCAGCTCATTTAGGCTAGCTCACTAGTACATAAATATATCCAAAAAACTGCAAAAATTGTACTGTTATTTTTCGAATGCTTTCTGGAGCATGCAGGAGTCTGCAGTGGGGCCTCTTAATGCTAGGATGATGGGTGCTGTTACTGCATTGTCTCCGGGTGAGTCAACAGAGGTTATTTATGCGTGCATCTCCTAAGGGTAACTGTTTCACTGCCTACTAGTCCCTCACCAAACCAAGCAAAAGAAAGATGAAACCATATAAGGGGGTCTGAATTCCAACTTTCCGGAAGATTTTCTTCAGTCTGGACCTGGCCTTCTCTTCCTGTCTGAGACGGGAAGCAATGCTTAATTCCGGAGTACTCTCGTATTATAACAAAATACGAACACCTAAATCGCCAGAGTCACGGACGGAGCCTACACCAAAGATAGGTTTCTCTGTGGCTGTGACACAAAAAAAAAAAACAAGGACTCTGGTTTCCCTTACATGCACTTCCGTGTGGCACTTATCCATTTGTCTTTGTATCGTATCGTCCTCAGGATGAAGGGTCGGTAATCTTTGATCGATTATCAGATAGGATTGACAATATACACACCGAATTTCTCTCGGTCAGCTTTCACATATATGGGTACTTCAATGTTCACCACAAAGAGTCGTTGGTCCACTTTAACAAAACCGACGAGGAAGGCAGATATTGCAGAAACTTCTCCATCGCCTATGAATTAACCCAGATCATTAATGAATCCACCCGAGTCCCAGGACGGCAGGCGAACTTCTTCGACTCTGTTCTAATATCATTCTTGACAAATGCACAAAAAAGACCCCCCCACATTAGTACGTCAGAACACTCCCTAGTCAGTGTCCAGATTGATGCTAAACCTAAGGTATATCTAGTTGTGCCCTTCCATGGAACGTTTTTTCGCTACGCAAAGGCAGACTGGAACAGCTTTCGATCCTACATGACGGAAGCTCCTCTCCCAAACTTCTTCAAACATGATGACCTCAAAACTTCCTGCTTTACTCTGCGAATGGATCCACCCGAGGAATAGTGTCAAATGATTTCGCCAGGAACGTTTATAGTACGGAAGACATAACTTCATCTATTCGCCCTTCAAGATCTTCCAAATACTTTAGTTTGGTTTAGTAGACTTGCATCTTTACCCAACCTCAAATAAAAAAGTCACAGTGTGTTAAGTTCAAACTCCTGGCTGGTCACTCATACATAAAAATGGGAGTTACTTTTCAATCATCCTGTATATATATATATATATATATATATATATATATATATATATATATATATATATATATATAATATAATATATATATATATAGAGAGAGAGATAGAAAAATGGATAGATAGATAGACAGATAGATAGATAGATAATATTAGTGGTCAATATACCTATATATATATATATATATATATATAGATAGATGATAGATAGATAGATAGATAGATAGATAGATAGATAGATAGATAGATAGATGAATGAATAGATAGATAAGATAATGAATCCAATATA